GTCTGCAGGAGTGAGAGCCAACTCAAGGGCAATGGGTAAGGGTCTGCTGGCCCTATGTAAGCACTTTACAAAGCTCAGTTAACTTAGTCCCATACGCTGTGATTAAGGACCTGGAGGCTCAGACACTATATGCTGTGCCCAAGGTCCACTGCAAGCTAGCAGCTGAAGTGGGGTCTGACCCTAACCTGTGTGACCCCACTGCCTGCACCTAACCACTTACCCCCCACATCTCTGCACAGTTAGTTTGTCCTCATTAAAGAAATAACAATAATAATGACATCAAATCTTAATATTAGAGCAAAACTTAGGCCCCATTTTAATGAGTGCAGAAACAGGCACAGAGGGGTTGACTCACTTGCCCAAGGTCTCACAGCTAGGAAGTAGAGACACTGGTATTTACACCCAGGCATTCTTGTTCCAGAATTTGTGCTGTTAAATGTCTTAAAACAGATATAAAGCAAGGTTGTGGTTGTTGTCAGGTGCCATCGAGTTGGCAACAACTCACAGCAAACCCACGTACAACAGAACGAAACACTGCCCCATCCTGGGCCAGCCTCATAGTACTTGCTACACCTGAGCCCATCGTTGCACCCACTGTGTCAATCCATCTCATCGAAGGCCTTCCCCTTTTTCGCTGACCCTCCACTTTACCAAGCATGACATCCTTCTCCAGGGAATGGTCCCTTCTGACAACATGACCAGAGTAGGTGAGACCAAGTCTGGCCATTCTCACTTCCAACAAGTATTCCGGCTGCACTTCCTCCAGGACAGATTTGTTCATTCTTCTGACAGTCCGTGGGACTTTGAGTGTTCTTTGCCAACACCACAACGCAAAAGCATCAGCTCTCTTTGGGCTTCCTTATTCATTGCCCAGATTTCACATGCACATGAGACAGCTGAAAACACCATGGCTTGGGTTAGTTGTACCTTAGTCTTCAAAGTGACATATTTGCTCTTCAGCACTTGAAAGAGGTCTTTTGCAGCAGATTTTCCTGGGGTAATACGTCGTCCGATTTCTTGACCGCTGCTCCCATTAATGGAAGCAATACGAAATTTTTGACAACGT